CTATAAGGAAAGTGTGAAAAAAGATTAGAAGAACAAAATGAATCTTTTCCTGTCATCGATCTGAGTGTAGGGACGCAGTTGAGCAGAACTTTAATAACGTGCAATGCAAGAGTAAAAGAAAAACGGAGCTTCCGCAAGATACAGAGCATATTCTAGGTCCTAGCCAATGAGGGGCAGGACCTGGGGAAAATGAAAATTGCTCACGCACGTTAGAGTCTCTCCTACGCTGCGTAAGTTTTAACCTCGTGCATAACAAAAAGAACACCTTGGACGCGGTTTGAGATGTGATGTCGTCACAACGCCCCCGTATCTTGCAACAGCGCCGAAAAAACAAAAACAGTATCATGACAATGATTTAGAATTCCTTACCGTTTTATGCTTTTGATGAATGACCAGTGTATCACGGCTAACTCTTTCTACCACTTGCATGCCGTTGAGAGTGTGATCCCATTCCATTTTGTACTTATCGTCGAAGAAATAGTGCATAAATTCAAGAGCAGATACACCCTAGAAGTTCAGCCATGCACATAATGCCGAAACTAGTATTTAGCAAGAACGATCCACCTGTACTTGATGAACAGCTTTGAGGGGATCTACTGGCAATCCACCATCGACAGTTTCTTCACGAGTGTACATTTTCATAGCACCGTCTTCAGCAAAAAGAGTCCATATGTTATCTTCAACGCCAGCTAAGGCATACCTAAAAAGCAACGGCTATGTATGGCCACAACCTATGTAATGATGAATTTAGGTAACTAACCTGAGCTGCTCTTTGGCTAAATGGTCTACTAAATCGTAATACACATGAGTTCTTGGAATCAAAATATTGTCATAATCTCCAAACAGAAGCGTCTGAAATTCGTAATACATTTCAGCAGTGTTGCGATGTGCGCAGAAGAAACTCACTCGCTCATGCTTCTTCTCGGCTTTCTTCATTTGTTGTGGAGCAGAGGCCACTTCTACAACCGCTCTAACACCGGGTGGTGTTCGTCGTTCTATTGCCTCTTCAGCACTATCAAGTGAAAGTGATGAATGTTCGTCTGCATCATGCCACTCATCACCACAATCACTCGTCTAAAATTGACGTGTTTAATGCTGATAGATGGCTAATCAATAACGACTTCATTTTCAATATAATTCCGCTCCACTGAGGTGGTTAGACACGCAATGTGGCACCTGTCAATGATCTGCAACATAAGAAACGGTAAAATTGTCACAGAGTAAGAAACTATACCTATTTGTTCAATCTACACTACTCACTTTGTATAAAGACTGCTACTGCGCAAATAACTTCGACGCAACAAGGTGACCATTACAGAGTGCAAACAATCCCAGGAGTGGATTAAATCATGTTTAAGTTACGATTCACGGCTTACAAGTTCAAAGAGTTCGTGAAACAACGTGGATGAGACCAGAATTTCAGACTGACACCGATTATTTGAAATTAAGGAGTTTCATCTCATACTGCCTTTCACGGCGTGCGCCAAATAAAAAGTAAAAATCGATCATGAGTAAACGCGCAATCTAATGAAGTTTTTTTTTGGCCCAAAT